TTTAATAAATCAGTATATAAAGCCGAGTGTGTATATTTGCTTGTAAAAAATGGCCATTTGTCAATTGCGATCAAAATAGATGTAACTTGATTAAACGCAAAGATCACTAAATTCATTTTGATCAGTCAGTTTTGCTTGATGAATTTTTATTTAATGTCATACGGACATGTTCAAATAATTCAAAATTACATCTTAGGTCTTCAACAAGATTGACACATCTGTATTGTTTATTAAGAAATAATTCTTTGCTTATATCATATACTAATAAACGATAGATTATTCGTTGATTCATGTCAGCACGTTTCTTTCCTAATCGGTGGAAGGTGCTAATATCTGCTGGTATGATATTGATTTGAATGGAATCACACAGATGGGCAATTAAATCATTTGTTCGCCATCTATATATTTGCATTTGAATTCAAATAGCGGCTTCGACAATAACAACAATTATACTTCTTGTTAAAGAACTAGACGAACACTTTCTACAGGCAATAAATTCCTGACATAGAAGAAGTTACGCACAGAAAGAAGCAAAATCGAGTGTTTTTTTATGTGTTGGTTCTAGAGTTTGTACGTACCTTCAAGAACTATATACGAACAAGAAAATATCCGTTTTAATACCACTGTGAAAAGAGATACTGCAGTACAATCCTTACCAACATTGAGACACTCTCGAACAGTAACGTTAAAGCCTGGATCTTGTACAATTTCAAATGGTCAAATCAAATAGCACACCATGCAGGACATAATTATTTTAGGTTTTCTTTCCTGTTTGCTTATTGATTATGAACGTAGACTATTTCTAATGGATTGTTGACCTTTCGGTAATAATGCGGTGCAATGATGTTCATTCAAATTTTTTGCACTTGAATCAACATATCGATACGTTTCATAACAATGCGTATATGAAGTAGATCCAACAATAACTTCGAATTTTTTTTGTGCTGGAAATCCAAACGTTTTCCAACATGCAGACACTCTTTTGCTTGTATTATTTTCGATTTTATATTCGAATTTTTTTATTTATTAACAATCTTTTAATTTCAGAAGAATCAACTGTAGTAAATTTTGTGTGAGACGATGGTGTTGACAACTTGCAGAGACTTGGAAGAATACAGTAGCTATCAGAGATCCGCACGGTTCGGACTACAAAAACTTTCACCAGTTGGGGATCTGGTAAGGTCGATCTCAGAGGGAGCAGTTTTAGTAGGAACGAACTAAACACTAGAAAGATGGTTTTTGTGATGGCTTCGTTAAAGAAAAAAACTAAAATTTTGATGTACGCATGGGAATATCTTTATGAACAAAAAAAATATTGGTTTGTACAAATCTATTATTTACCGGCACTAGTCAATTAGTCGATAACAATATCAACGGCATCGTCGTTTTATGTGCTTAATGAAACGATAGAGACCATATATTGGTAAACCAATTGGTGAAATACCAACAGCCAATAATATGACGATAACTACAGCTGTCGCATATAGACCTCGTATAGCATGACGTAATAGAGGTTGGTCAGGATGAAGGTTATTCTTACAGCCTAAAATTAAAACGTTAAAAATTCAAATAGTAATAAGAGGGGAGAAATAACACTTCGCGAGCTCAAGTTTGCGCACTTTGAAGCGAAAACTTGGAACGTCTATTTATTCAGACATATTTTTAGTATGTCAGGCATATCATACTCTACTTTTCACCCAAAATCCTACGGATTGTGGAATTTCTGTTACGATTCCCGTTCAAAAATTTTAATAACGTATTTTAGACTAAGCTCATGAAAAATTGAAAAATGCGTAAATCACTCAAACGTGATTCAAAATAGTTAAAAGCTTCGAAATATACTCTATCTCATGCGCTTTAAATGATTGTGTGGCTCAAAGTGCGAAAAGAATCCGTTTCTACTAATGACATTTTCTAGAAAACCCCGAAAGATCTTGGGGACTTCATCGCACTTCGAGATTTATCAGCGTGTAAAGCATCTGAGACAGAGTATATCTCAAAGCTTTTAACTATTTTGAATCACGTTTGAGTGATTTACGCATTTTTCAATTTTTCATGAACTTAGTCTAAAATACGTTATTAAAATTTTGAGCGAAAACAAATATTGCCGCAAGACTCGGCATGATCGATAACCTATGTTCCAGTTGTTTTTGATGCTTCTAAACAGCAAGGTTACTGAATAGGGACACCTTAGGAAAGTACCAGAATGCCCGAACGATGATAGATAGAGATCCTGGACTGGGGTAGTTTTGTAGAGAAAAATGTTACTCTATCTAGGTGCATATTTTAAACGAGAATCGTGATGGAAATTCCACTATCCGTAGAATTTTGTTTGTAAGGAATATAAAAAGAAAAGGTTTCAAAGCGTAATATTTTTCAGATTATTCATATCTCGTCTTATTTTACCGTATGTGTAAATATTAGCTGAAGCTGGAAAATGTTCCTTTCATATCTGACATCTTTAATGTATTATGAAATATATATGAGTGTTATTCTCTACCTACTAACCTAATGGACTGAATTTGCTGTCATGGCTTCCCAACCATTTTAATGTTATACGTTGTTTTCCACAATTGTAACAAAATTGACAACTACATTGGGAACATGTCATATGTGGACATCCTTCATTTCGTTGTATATAAATTCCACATTTTGGACATTGATGTGCATTATATTGATTATCTTTATCTCGTCGTTTTGCCCATTGTTTTAACGGTATATCGCCTTGTTTATATTCAGAACAGGACATATTTTGATGCCATGTTAAATGACATTGTTTACACCATTCATATGAACACGATTGGCATATTAAATGATTTGATTTAAATATTAAATATTTTTTTATTAATTTAATTTGAAATGAATGACATTGAGGACAACTAATTCGTTGTCTATATTTTTTAATTAAGTCCAAATCATTATGTAAATATGTCAATATTTCATTTTTATTTAATATATGATCACATGATATACAATGAATGTCATTCTTTTCTATATTTATTTTCAGGTAATAGAGTTGACATAATTCACATACATAATTATGACAACATGATAAATAATGAACAGCGTTTTTATCTTCATAACAAATAAGACATTGTGGTATTCGACTATTATTGTCTTTTTCTCTTGTGGATAAATCCATCTGAGATATCTCACATGTATAATAATCATGAGTAACGTTTGTTACCTGAGCAGCGACCTGTAAATTAGATATATAAAATTATTTTTATCGATTTCTGTCAAGTCATTAATGAGGAGAAACGAAAAAATACCCAGGATTTTAAAAGTCAAGAAGCTCAAGATCTCTATATGGCGCAAACTTGATATTTTTCAGAAAACATACTTTTTGAGATACGCTTCGAGGTAAAATCTATGGACTCTCTTATTTGAGAAGGATGAATTACGGAAAAACGAGTTGAGGAAGAATCTTTTGAAAAGATAACTAGAAAATCTCACAAGAAGCGTTAGCTTCAACTGATGAGTAAAAGGTAAATATCTTCCGACATCGAAACTTTCATATTTAGATAGTACTCGAGGAGTACTACAAAACCCATATGATCTCATCGCTTACGCAAAAAGTCGATGTCTAAGTGATATGTTTCAAAAAAGTTTACCTTTGTTTCGGTGACAAGATTCAATTTTGATAATGATTGTTTTCTCCCACGAATTCTCATTGATCGTTGCTGAGAGTTTCTAAGTTGGGACTGATTTATTGGAATTAACAACTGAGAGTCGGAATAAGATCGATCTCTTGCTGACATTTCTAAATGAATACTTAAAGAATTGACAGAATATATGTAGGTAATAGAGCTTGCTATAAACTCACAATAGAAGTTTTCGTATGGCCTTTTTAGTAACTAACGATATTCGTTTTTTCCTTGTTTTCAGCTGTAAGAATGTATTTATATCAAATGATTGCATCACTAGAAAAATTACACTGACGTTGCCACACATGTCATTAACCTGTTTTCTTTAGTGACGTGTCATTTACTGCAACTGAAACAGAACGAAGAAAAACAAAAAAATTCTTGAAACTTTAAGGTAATATTGAGTCAGATGAATAGAAAAAACTCTTTACGATAGACTGAATCATTGTTCCAACTCAACAGAAAAAATCTGATTCACTCAAATAAAAGATTCCGTGTTTGTTACTCTTCAGCGTGGCTAAGGGTCACTTTCAATCGGAAGATTAAGAAGTATTTTTCCTCCAGCTAAGTCACAAAGCACATCACTAGTCGCAGTTTTTCGCGCTGGCTACGAATGTCAACTTTAAATTTTGAAATACGTAATTTTAAGGGTGAAAATTTAAATTTATAACTTTTAAAATCTTTAATTTCGATTTCCTGACCCCGACATTTTCTTGGAAAACTTCAAAATTATGTCATTGGATGGTGACTTTAATTCTCTACAAAATGGCTCATTTTGTTTCGACTTTTCATATTTCAAAAAAGTTTTATAAACGAAAGGTTTTTTTCAAACACCAGTTTTGAAAACGGTTTTTCTTCAAGATAAAGTGGTTTCTTCACCTTCTGTTACGACTCCACGAGACTAAAAGCAAGAGGGAAACAGCAGACTCCGTCGGACTCCAGTCGTGTGGAGTCTCCTTGAGTTAGATGGAGTCACGTGGAATCAGTTGAGGCGGTCGAGTCTCAAGAAATGTATCTTAATTTCTTTAGATGAATCGTTTTTTTTCAGTGGCCTTGCATCAAATAGTAAAACGTTTGTTTATTTGAATCATTCGTAAGTAGAAATTGACCTTTTTGCTGTTGGTTATAGCGGCCTCCAACATCGATTCGGAGACTATGTGACGGTCAATCAACAGTTTACATGAAGGACCAAAAAAATATTTCTAGAAATATAAAATTCGTTCTGT